CCTCATCTTGGCAAGGATTTATATAATTGTTAAAATTTGATGTTTTTAAATGTTTTGTGATGCTGTTTCTGTGATGTTTTATTATGTATGTAGGCCGCCCCGAGTAGACTTTGTCTAGGGGGGGCGGGGTAAAAATCTAATAAAAGTAAAAGTAAAGTAAATAAAGCAGAATAACTTGGAGAAGTAGCAGCAAAAGTTATAACAACATGTGAGGGGGGAAAATCAAATGTCTAGTACGCAGTTTGATCACAGACAATGATGCAAATGTGTCCGAAGTGAGAAGAAATTTAAAATAACATGAAGAGACTACGAAGGTATTCCTGCATTGTATTCCTGCATTGAACAGGAATACAATGAACAGGGGGTTAGACTTCATGGCTTTTCGATGATTCTTCCAACTTTTCTATGGTTCTAAGCTAATAACATATGGTTGCAATGCTCATTTGAAGCAGCTCCTAGTTCCAGAAATAAAGAGTAACGTTGTTGAAATTGCTAAATACTTCCGTAACTATCATTTTGCAGCAAGAGATCTAAAAGAATGGGTGGAACCTAGCTAACGCTTCCACAAGATGTTAGATGGAACTCTGTAGCGCAGAGGTCCCCAACCCCTGGTCCGCCGAGACAGACCTCCTGCCCCCCCGCATGCACTCACCACCGCATAGCCCGTTTGCGGCTGCGCGCATGCTCCAGCACGCCCATGCGAGTGCCGCACTGCCGTTTGTGCATGTGCACAAGCATGTCCAGACAAGCACTGCGCCGTGTGGACATGTGCAAAAGTGCACAAACACCCAGACAAGTGCCACACCACTGTTTGCGCATGAGCACGCCCACACTTGTGCAACAGACAGTGCTTGTTTGCGCATGTGCGCGAGCACGGGGATCCCCCGCCTTCCCCAGCCCGAAAAAGGTTAGGGACTGCTGCTGTAGCGGACTGTTTTGAACCATATATCAAGAACTGGCCTATTCTGATGACAGTTTGTGAGCAAAATCGAGAAAAAAATAGATGGGCACTGTCACAGCCAAAATCTTCAACATTTGGTTTAAGACAAATGTTGAACATTTGCTGAACATTACAAAACCCATTTTGAAGCTTTAAACAAAATACAGAAAAACAGATCTTTCATTGCTGATGCTGTTGAAATCTGGAAGAAACTTACAAACAGAAGTACATACTGATAGAATTAAATTAAAAGCTTTAAAAATGTATGAGACAAGCAGTGTCTCCAGCTCATTTTCTCATGAACTCTGTCAATATCCAGTACCAAGCTCAAACCTTCAGTGCTGAAGAAGAGGAGTTAGCTATGACATGGGTATCCAGCAATCATCCATCTCTACTGCCAACTACAATAAACCTAAGGGGGAATCATTCAGGAAATATATGTTTGCTGATGATGTTTTAAAGAAAGTCACACCAGCGAACAGGTGGAAGTCACTAAAGCACTTGGATTCAGAAACTGTTGAAGTTAATAGTGAAATGATTTCACATTTAACAGCAGTGGCCTGTTCTGCTGGCATTGAAAGAATATTCCCTTCCTTTGGACTTGCTAATTCTAAACTAAGAAATGTTGGGATCCAATAAAACAGGAAAACTTGTTCTTCTTTTCCAGATTATGAACATACATGAGAATGAAGGTGAACACGAGTGAGATGGAAAAGACAGGAGGGAGTAAAGAAAAGTATAAGATAAAGTTAAAGGGTAATAAGTAATGAAATGTAAGGTTAAGTAATAATATTTTAGTACCCATTAAATAATAATATCAGTAGTCAATTTTACACACATTAAATAAAAAGTAGGTTTGAAAGGAGGAAATAGAATAGAGTTAGCAGCAACGAAAGAGTCAAATATGAATATGTTTGTATATGGATGTATGAGTATATATAGGTATATGTATGTGTGCATGTAAGTGCATATATACATACAAAAAATGACAATAATAATAATAAAAAAGTAGAGGGTGGGAAGGGGTGAAGGGTGGCGCTCTGTTGAATGCCTATGCGTCTCCTCTCTCCCACTCCAGCAGCTATGAAGTACTGAAATGGGGAAATTCCCAGAAGGAATGAAGGGGAGAAGAATATGTGTAGTGCTGGGAATAGATAAGGGGGTTAGATGGACGGGGATATAGATTTAGATATTGTTTATGTTTAAGTAATAAGTGCAATATGCTTAATGCTAAGTTTTTGCAGATACATAGAGGAACCTGAAAGGGAAAATGTTATTAATAATATTTTGAGATGGTTAAGAAGAGTATAAGATTTGCAACATGAAACGTGAACAGCTTAAGTAATATAATTAAAAGGAAAAAGAGTTGAACATAAGATTAATAGAGAGAAGGTAGATGTTTTATTTTTGCAAGAGATTCATCAAAAGAAGGACTAAAATGAGTTATGATATATCTGTTTTACTGATCTGACAGGTTATTATTCTAAATATGAAATCTTCATCTTGTAAATATTACACTCTTGAGATTAGACTAGTGCAATGCACTCTACGTGGGGCTACCTTTGAGATTGATGCGGAAGCTTCAAATGGTGCAGAATGCGGTGGCCAGACTTCTCAGTGGGATGAGAAAACATCAGCATATTTCCCCCACTCTGGCTGTCTTGCATTGGCTGCCCGTTCGTTTCCGCATTGATTTCAAAGTGTTAATGATGACATATAAAGCCCTAAACGGTTTAGGAACCTCAAAATCTAGCGGAACATCTCTTCCCACCAGAACTACCCGAATCACTTGTTCTAGCCAGGAATGGCGGCTAAGGGCCTTAATGCCAAGGGAGGCCCAGAGAGAAAGAACAAGAAACCAGACCTTCTTGGCAGTGGCCCCTCACCTTTGGAATAGTCTGCCCTCAGAGATCTTTCTAGTTCCCTCATGGGTGTTTTTAAGAGCCAACTTAAGACCTGGCTCTTTAGGCAGGCTTTCCCTCCTGTCATCACTTGATTATTTTTATTTTTTCCCATCTTGAACTATATTACTATTGTTGCTTTTTATTTTCTAATACTGTTTTTATTCCATTTTTATCGTTAGCCGCCCAGAGTAGACATCTGTCTAGATGGGCGGTGTATAAAAATAATAAATAATAAAACAATATTAAAGATTATAACTACCAGCGAGAATGTATCTTTACATCTAAAAATCACAATTTAAATCAAGTCTTATTGAGGAGTGCTTCAAATTATGATTTAAACTGACTTGATTTAAATCAAATCCACCTGGGACTATGTGTAAAACATTCTGAACATTGCACAGTGAAATTACTGTCATGACACCATTAGCAACCACACAACACATATTAGAAACATTATTATTAGTATGGATTCACACTGGCAGTATCTGGGCTCTTCAGGATCACCTTAAAGAAAGACAGTATCTCCATCACTTGGCACAGAGGACAGATTTTTGAGGAAGTGAAAGATTCCATTTGGGTGACATCACATTTAGGTTGCTCACTGGAAACAAGTTACTACTGCAGGTTCTCCCTGACTTATTGTAAGTTAGAAAGAACTTAAAATGTGGCCTTGCAATTGTTCCTCCATGACAGTGAGCAGCAACTTGAGACCACAGAGGTAAACCGAACCTGTTAAATACCACCTTACAGTTTACAGCTCACACATTAAGTGTGTATAAGTACTGACATCTGTGACAACAAACTTTACTGGAAGCCCTCCCTGTGTACTGGGAGAGTTGGTCCCAACCTTATCTTCCCACTAGGCCCACCTCTAAACTAGCTGCTAACCAGCATAATTAAACCAACAGTGCAAATATACTTCGGTCTGCTCAGACAGATGCTTCACTGCATTCTGTTGGGGCTTACTGTCTGACATATGTGTCTATGCTTGCAGTCTTAACTTGTTAACCCTTAAAAATTCCAGTCAATATTAAAGGTTTCAGCTACACTGGACATACCACTGTTCATAGATTTGATCACAAGTCTTTCAGTGCTTCTCATTTGACAATAAACCTTTCCTTCAATCTACACGTATCACTGTTTGGTTTCAATACTGTATACCAGAAGTGATAAGAGATATGTAGGACAATCCTACATGTTCCTCACTCTTGCACTTAGAATTAATACTGGAATACTAGCAGGAGCCTATTCTCCCTATAGCTACTTGCCCTTTTATTTATAAAGTAATGACTATGCTTTCAAAATGCAGTTCTCTGACTCACTTTGTTACTTAAGCTACACATTTTAAAAATAAAAAGATGACTACTTGATTGGAAAATAGTATGCCAGGCAAAATGAACACAGAAGAGGATGTGCACATTCATTCCGAACTTTACCAGTGAAGAACAATAGGAGGAAAGGGTCAAGCATAATGGGAATTGCGTGGAGAGGTAAACTGCCTGTCACAATCCAAGGATCCTAAAACACTGGATGAAAGCACAAAGGCACATGGAAATCTTGAACACTGGAAAGGCTAGCAGAAAAAAACTACTTGCACCATTCTGAACCCCCCACCACCACCACCACCACCACCACCACTATCCTGGAACAATAATAAAGGGGAAAGTGGAAAACTGCCATCAGTCAAGCCCCAAATTTCAGAGCCTCCATGAAGAATAAGGAGATTCTGCAACAGGACGTGGCGAACCAAACGAATACAGGAGGAACCGAATCTTCAAAATACCAACCCCTTATTTTCCCACGCTGGCACTAACATCCTGCCTGAGGGAGCTCCCTCCCTCAGCCTCGCGGCCTCCAAGCCCGGGAAAGGAGGAGCAACAAAAAGGGAGCGAAGCCGTTCCCCGAACGGGCCCACCGCTCAGGGCGTAGAGGGAGGGAGAGAGGGAGGTGGGTGTACGGGCAGGAGGAGGCAGACTAGGCCTGGCGGGCGGCGGAGGCGGGAAGGGTGCCTGCCTAGGTGGTCCGACCACCGGCCACGGAACCATCGCCACCCGCGCTCCGAGACGCAGCCCGGCGGCGGCGGAAGTAAAAACCGGGCACTCCCCCTGTGAGGCGAGAAGAGGGCCTCGCGGCGCCCATCCCAAGCCGGCACAGACCTCTACGTCGCGGCCTTTATTCTTGAAGCTCTTGAAGCGGTGGTTCTCCAGGCCACCNCGAAAGGGGAGGAGGAGGAGGAGGAGGAGGAGAGGGACGTTCCGCAACGGGAAACCTCAGGGAACGGCTGGAGATTGCGCGTGCGCGGCCTTGTCAATAGCTAGGCGTGGGAGAGCGAGCGAGCGAGCGAGCGAGACTCTAGCAGGAACATAGAGAAGATAAAAATTAGAAGTCGCCTAGAGACAAGACTTCCTGGTTCCGCTTGAGGCAGGAGGAGGAGGAGGAGGAGGAGAGGGACGTTCCGCAACGGGAAACCTCAGGGAACGGCTGGAGATTGCGCGTGCGCGGCCTTGTCAATAGCTAGGCGTGGGAGAGCGAGCGAGCGAGCGAGCGAGACTCTAGCAGGAACATAGAGAAGATAAAAATTAGAAGTCGCCTAGAGACAAGACTTCCTGGTTCCGCTTGAGGCCATTGTTTGGGATCCCCCGGACCGGCAGCTGGTCCAGCAGTGCTTAAAAAGCAGTGGAAAAAATCAAGGATTTTGGTGACATTGGTATAGCGAAGTCTTACTGGATAGGAAGAGGAAGTTTATTCGAGAAGGGAATGTTAAGACTCGTCTTCTAGGGAGCTGAATGTTAGGGAAGTTGGGATTTGGTCTTTAAAACAGTTGTTGGGTCTGAGGCTGAGATGGGGCTTGAGGAGAGCATACAGAGGTTAGAGATAAACCTCGAGAGGATACCTCTTATTTTTTACATTTCTGTATGAAGTGGAAACTTAAATACAATCCGCAGTATAATGGATCGGGCTAAAACAAATATTTCTGCCAAAAGCATTGGGATGCATTGGTCACACATGAGAAGTGCATTTTAGATCTGGAAAAAAATATCAAAACCCCACTTGAATTTTGGAAATGACAACTTCCTGGTAGGCCAAAGCAAGAAATTCATTAACCACCTGTGCCTGCGAGAGAAATAAAATGAGCCACAAACTTTCAGCAGACTCCACATTTCCAATGTAAATGATATGTCATTAATCTTTTCTTGGAAGGGGAAGGCTGGGGAAGTATGGATGTGATGTTCCAGAGTTGTTGCAATCATATTGAGGGACACATAGATTGGCCTACAACAATTTTGCATTCTAGTCCAATGTTGATACAATATTTTATCCAACCTTTTAAAATGTTTTTTTAAAATTTAATGTGAGTGAAAATGAGGGAGCCTATTCCAACCCTTCTTCCAACTTCAGCGATCTGAGTTGTCCTGCCTACTTGGCCTTGTGTCACTGTTCGTTAATGCCAGGCCAGTCATGGGGCAGGCACTTACCTCAAGCCTAAATTAATTTAGAGCACATATAGAGGACCATCTAGCCAGTAAGCAAGAGATTGCGACTGATCTCTTGAGACCATTCCTATTGAGAATCTGGCTGCCAAGAACTGGACTCAGAACTATGAGGCATGGTGAGGAGGGACTGGAAGGTTCCAAGTGCTCCGGGAAGCTGATGCTATGGGCAGCTTACCAGAGCTGGCTGTTCTTCACTTCTTGGGTCTAGGGAGCTCCTGAAGCCAAGATATTATGAGGGGTTGACCTGTGATGTCTTCCATCCCAAAACCAATTAGATTAGGCATCCTTCAGTCTCGAGAGACTATGGTACCACACTCGGTATGGACTTGGAACAGCGTCTAGTGTGGCTGAGGAGGCTGATTCGAGAGTGACAATCCCTTCCACACTGAAGACAGATAAAATCTATCCCCCTATCCAGCTCCCTGATTTTGCTGCTTTTGTGACTGCCTCTTTGCCTCGGCCTGCTGGACAAGGGTCTCTTCAAAATTGGTGAGGCCATGATGCTCTGCCTGCCTCTAGGCTGAACGCTCAGATGTCAGGGTTTCCCATCTGTTGAGATCCATTCCTAAGGCCTTCAGATCCTGCTTGCAGATGTCCTTGAATCGCAGCTGTGGCCTCCCTCTGGGGCCATTTCCCCGCACTCATTCTCCATACAGGAGATCTTTTGGAATCCGACCATCAGCCATTCTCATGACATGCCGAAGCCAATGTAGATGTTGCTATTTCATTAATGTACACATGCTAAAATTTCCAGCTTGGACTACTCTGTTTGGAACTTTGTCCTGCCAGGTGATGCCAAAAATGCGTCGGAGACAACGCATATGGAAGGTGTTCAACTTTCTCTCCTGCCGTGCACAAATGGTCCAGGACTCACTGCGGTATAGGAGTGTGCTCAGGACACAGGCTCTATAGACCAGGATCTTGGTATATGCCGTCAGCTTCTTATTAAGCCATACTCTCTTTGTGAGTCTAGAGAACATGATAGCTGCTTTGCCAATGTGTTTATCCAGCTCGACATCTAGGGAGAGAGTGTCACAGATCGTTGAGCCAAGGTACACAAAGTCATGAACAACCTCCAATTCTTGTGTGGAGATGGTAATAGAAGGAGGTGAGTCCACGCCCTGGCCCATGACTTGTGTTTTCTTCAGGCTGATTGTTAGTCCAAAGTCTTGGCAGGCCTTGCTGAAATGATTCATGAGTTGTTGGAGGTCTTCAGCAGAGTGGGCAACAATGGGTGCATCATCAGTGAACAGGAAGTCCTGCATGCATTTCAGTTAGACTTTGGCCCTCGGTCTCAATCTAGAGAGCTTAAAGAGCTTTCCATCTGATCTAGTCCAGAGATAGACACCTTCTGTTGCAGTTCCAAAGGTGTGTTTTAGCATAACAGCAAAAAAGATCCAAAAAAAACCAGTTGGTGCGAGGACACAGCCCTGTTTCACTCCCCTTTGGATGTCAAACAGATCTGATACTGAGCCATCAAAAACTACAGTGCCCTTCATTCCCTCACGAAAGGACTTGATGATGTTAAGGAGTCGAGGTGGACATCCAGTCTTGGGAAGTATTTTAAAAAGGCCATTCCTGCTAACCAAATCAAAGGCCTTTGTGAGATCTATGGGTCCAGGGACCCTTTAGAGCTATCATTCAAGAAAATTCACCAGCTTTATGTAGGGATAACCTCCAGTGGCATGTGAAGATCATGCTGCAGCCCACCTCCCCTGCTATTGCTGTCATCATTGCACTTTTCTTACTTTGCACTCCATCCTCTATTTTCCTTCCTATAGCACAAGAAAATGTAGAGATTCCACTACTGTGATTGGCTCTGGCTGAAGGTAGATGCCCCCCTCAGAGAAATAATGGTGGATTTGTTGCACTGCTTCACATACCAGCAATGTGTGTATGGTAGGAATTGCTTCCCCCCAATGGAAGGGGTAGCTCTTTTGCTTCCTATCTCAGATAGTGGGAGAGCTTGGGTCATACCTGGTTCAACTTCACACCCTTCTGTAGTAAAGCTTTACTGGATCTTGAAGCAGCATGGGTGAATGCTGCTAATCCTGATCTAATGCTGCTTCTCAATCTTACAAAATTGGTAAGCTCTAGAACAGCGATGGCGAACCTATGGCAGGCGGGCCCCAGCTGGCACACGGAGCCCTTTCTGCTGGCACGCGAGCCACAGGTTACCAGATCACTACTCCCCCTGCCCCCCCCTGCAACCAAACCTGCGCTTTGGCAGACGGATCTGGAGCAACTGGTGCTGGCAGCGGAGGGGTTTCAGGCACCTCCGTACCGGGATTCCCCCTTCCGCCGCCAGTTCCAGGTCCACACTTTCGGTTTGGGGTCCTCTGGGTCTGCTGCCACCACTGTCACGGCAGCAGCACACCGCCTGCTGTTTTTTGCTTTTTTCCCCTCCAGTTTGGGCACACGAGCCCAAAAAGGTTCACAACCACTGCTCTAGAAGTACAATGATAATATAAACTCAGTTGGAAATAACTATGCAGAAATAAGATCTTAGTTTCTGGATGGCTTTTAATGGGTCTCCTTGCAACATCCTCCAGGCTTTTCTTACCATATGATAATCCTTTAAAAAACTCAGAACACCAGGATCAGGTTGTAGTATGCTAAAAACCTGTTATTTATTGACCATGGCACCATAGCAGTCAAGAGTTGTGTGCAATGGTGAGGACAAAGGGGAAAATCAAAATGATCTTGTGTAGACATATTAATTTTAAATTATTTGTCCAGAATCCAATTCATGGCTATAACTTGTCCCACATTTTAATGTGATGGCAGTTATTAGGAGGCAAATGCTTATGTGTTCGCAATGAACAGATAGGCAGGGTACAAATGGAATAAATAAAATAAATTATGTATCCTTAGTACCAATCAGCAGAGCAAAAAGCAAAGCGTGCTGCTTATATACCGCCCCATAGCACTTCATGCACTCTCTGGGCGGTTTACAAGTTAATTATGCAGGCTACACATTGCCCCCCCCCCCCAGCAAGCTGGGTACTCATTTTACCGACCTCGGAAGGATAGAAGGCTGAGTCAACCTTGAGCCGGCTACCTGGGATTGAACCCCAGGTCATGAGCACAGTTTTGGCCGCAGTACAGCGGTTTAACCTGCACAGTGGCAGAGAAAAAGGCAATTCAAAGGGTGATTAAGATGGCCCAAAACATCATTGGCTGTTCACTCCTCTCCTTGGAAGAAGTGTATAAGAACAGATGTAAGAGGAAGATATCTAACATACTGAAAGACTCCTCTCATCCGGGACATCAGCTCTTTAAATTATTACCATCCGGTAGGAGATTTAGGGTATTGAAAGCAAGGACAAGCAGATTCAAGAACAGCTTTTACCCAAGTGCAGTATTGAGTTTAAATGCGGGGTCATAAATATTTGGTGGAATTCTAATTGCTGGGAGAAACGGGGTATTTATATTTGTATGGTGAGTCTTGTGTATATTTTTAACTTTTTTTTTGGTAGTGGTGTTGTCCAGTTTTACCTTGGGGAAGACCACCTCATTTCGTTGCACCCACTTGTGAGTGCAATGACAAATAAATTTCTTATGTCTTATGTCTTAACCACTGTGAATGCCTCTTAAGGAGGAATCTGCCTGCTATTCTAATCAATAACATTGAGATGTTGGGCTAAGACTTTCTGTATTTGATAAGCAGTCGGGTCTGGATTTTGAATGTGATCTTTACTTTTACTATTTTAAGTTTTATTTATGAATATTAACATTGTAATACTTTGATATTTTTGAACCACTTCAACAAATGCATTTGTTGTTATAGTGACAGCCATTACTTTTTTTACTGCTTTTATTGTTCATATTTGTAAACCTACCCTGAAGGCACTGTCTTCTGGAGAGTATCTAAACATTTTAAATGAAGGAATTTAAACTATTTTCCTAATTTAGGAAAATTGTATTGTTCCTGACATTTTTCATATATTTGATTGGTATAATTTGCATATTTATTAGCTTTTACCAGGATTTTCTAAAGAAACATGTTTATGCGTATTTATATGTGCACTGATACTTAAAAGTGTGCCCATAAGGCTAAGCATGGCTTTTAACATGACTTCCTGCACCATGGTAAGTGTTGTGCCCTGAAAGTCTGACAAATGTATCCATATTTTTCTTAAAATTGCATAATCCTACAATAATGGACCAAGGTACAGTACTTTACAGCAGAGGTCCTCAACCCCAGGTCCGCAGCCCGGTGCCAGTCCGTGGCCTGAGCCCGACCAAGCCGCAGAGAGAGACGTCCCCCCACCCCGCATGCACTCACCCCACAGCCAGTTTGTGCCTGCGTGTGAGTGCCCACATGAGCACTGTGCTGCCCTTTGCGCATGCACACAAGCACATGGCTTTGCACATGCGCACAAGCGCAGGGGGGTGCCCCGCCTTCCCCAGCCGGTCTGTGGGGCTAAAAAGGTTGCTTTTCAATCTTTCTAAAGTGATTTTTCCAGCGAAAGGAATTGAATTGTTAAATTTCTTAAGTTTATCTCTAAACTTGGTACAGTAGGACCCCTGTATTTGTGGGATCAGTATTTGCGCATTCACTTATCCACATCAGAAAATATTAAAAGAAAAAAATCCAGAATGGATGTAAAAATATTTGAGAGAGAGAACCAATCCCCAGCAGATATGGGGTCTTACTGTATTTAGAAAAATGTTCCTTATTCTAGAAAAATACAAGCAGGTAACTCTACACAATTACTACAATAATAGAAAAATAAATATTTCTAGCATTACTGTATTATGAAATAAGCACTTTATTTTTACAGGTATTTCCTACAATGACTTTAAAATCTGATAATATATATGGATAGTACATAAATATAGTAATATAGAGCTCTTGGCTTTTTCAACATACTTTCTAACAGTGTATACAAACTAAAACAGGATTTACAGCAGCTAAACAAAATGGATAGTTACATTTGAAATACAACTTTTCAAATTTGATAATCTTGTACGTTCAATGAATTTTCAAATATCTCCTCAGAAACTATTATTTCACTTAATATAACAGATAATTTAGTTTGGGGGGTCTTTCAGATTTCAGAGTATACAGAAATGCTATCTGTAAAAAAGTATATTTTGATATTTTATTACACACACAAAAGAACTTCAAAACTTCAGAGAGAGAATAAAGCAGCCTGTCAATGCTTATTGTCTTCTGAACTGAAATAATAGGAATAATTTAATTTAATAAAATTTGTTTTCTCAAAAACTGAGGAGAGCTTAAATGTAAAGCTTTATCATAATAACCAACTTCAGCTACGGTACTTGGCTTTTTACACTTAGCAATTTGCTTTAATTTAAACACAAAAAAGCGCAGAATCAAATATTTAAACAGGAATCCCAGCAGTTAAAAAAGAAAAGAGCTACCAATATTGTAGTTGTGTAGTGCTGTGTATAAGGCATCTGCAATCTATAAAGATTTAAAATAGTTTCTGTGACTGGGTATGTAGAGAAGACGAGAAATATCAGAACAATAATCAGACCTACAGTTTTGTAGAGCACACAAACATGTCTAAATCTATTATATCATACAGTATCACTGAAGTCATGGGTCACTTAATACTGCAGCTATATCCCTTTACATCAAGCTTGAACATTGTCCACATCACAAAAGTCAAATCTAACTGGCAATACACTTGGTCAGTAATGTGTTCTTTTTCCAAACAGTTTTAACTTTAGTAAAGTTTACATTCTGGGAATAATGTGAAGCTTTGAGAGAAAAGTGCTAGTGTGTAAATTGTCAGTAGGAATAATCAGAAAATCTGTTGTTCAAAGAGTATCTTTTCAAACCCTGATGGAGGAGTATGATAAAAATCACTGAACTGGCAATCCAAAATGGCACTGTCATCAACTGTAAGAAAGAAAGAAAAAACACTATGAAGAACTTGCACATATTCATACTTAAGAATACCCTTTGGTTTTCAGCTGCATGTCCTCTTTAGACACTAAAGTTTCAGATTACTAGTACTAAATGAGAGAAAGCACAGAAGTGTGTTTGCTGCCTACTCTCCATTTATCCTGGGAGGGAGAGTGGGAATGGGTGGAGCCAGCATCATCCTCAGGTTCACAAGGAACCTCTTAGCACTGTTTCCTTACTTCAAAGGTTTCTCCTTCAAACAGAGGGAAGGTGATAGGAATAATGGGGAGGGGGAGAGCATGGATCACCATAGTTAATCTTGATATATTAAATCTGGGCTTTCCCTTTCATATAATTCCAGTTGCATTTAGAAGAAAGTTTTCCCTCATCCAACACATGGAAAGCAGCAGAGATGCAGATTGTTATGGTGCAAAAAATACAGTAATTCCAGTTGCACTTAGAAGAAAGTTTTCCCTCATCCAACACATGGAAAGCAGCAGAGATGCAGATTGCAGTGCCCTGCCACAACTGAAATCGCACAAAGGGATATATCCAAACTGTGGTAGCATTTTGAAAAAATCACTCCTTCTTACTTGCAAAATGCAGAATTACATTCCTGAGAATCATCAGGGAGTTTAACACAGCCCTTCAAGAGTAAATAAAGTAAATACTTCCGCCTTCCTTGTGGCACATTAACCGCTGCACCTCTTCTGATCTAGACTCCAATGAGTTCCTGTGTCTGCTGATTTACTTATGTGAGATTGGGACTATGCCACGTTCCAGTTTCCTATTTACCTGATTCTTTTATTTACCCTGTTTGTTGTTTCAATAAACCTTGTTCTTTTGTTTATTAAAATCCATTCCTGGTCTGTGTGACTCCTTATAGGGAATGGTTGGTGGCAGCATAACTACAGGGTGGGATACTCCAGTAGGTCTGGGGTTGCCACACTTGGTGATTGATATACGTTGTCTTTGCAGAAAGTGAATTTACCTCAGAATGACAGAAAAGTAGAAGGAAAGGTGTTGTGGCCAGAGTGGCCAACTCTTTAGTCCACTGACTTATGCAAAACAATGCCAGGCAATTTTCTTGTTTAGAAGCACAGTGGCTGCTATCATTAGTCCAAACTCCTGATCAACATCCTTGAAATTTTACAGGGCCTGCTGAATTGTGAAGCATATATCTAATGCAAATTAGCTTTAACTGAGCAAATGGTATGTCTGGGAGAAACAAAACTAAATTATAATGAAGCACCAAAGGTGATAGTGTACATTTACTGCTTATTTGGTCCAAACTGCAAAACTGGCACCTTAACTTACAACTTCTCTCCTTTTTGATGTATGTGTGAAATCTGTAGCTTTTCATCAGAGAATGGTGGTAGAATAGAAGGGAAATATACTAGATTTTATAACACTAAATAGGATCATAAAACTGTATATATGTCAAGTATTTTGGAAAGCTGCACCTGCAAAATTTCCACCTGATTACGTATTATACCCTGATAGCATACCTACTTCCACAATATCAATAATCCAATTCATCCAAGTGGTCTTAACTCAATTTTTAGGTGATACCTTTTTTAAAAAAACATTTTAATTGTAAAATTTAATTACATACAAAACACACACACACACACACACACACCCCTCTTATATCTTATTTAATTATTTTTACTGCTTATATTTGACCTTTAATCTATCATTTAACTATCCCCAAATTCCTTCAAAAGTACATATAATCTCAGTTCGGCTTTTTCCCTTTCCCTTTACTTAATACAGCATTTATAAATTCATTCCCATATATCATTAAATCTATTTGTTTTTAATTATGCATTTCAAAACTTAATTACAGAAGTCAATTTATCATTAATTGCAATGTTCCAAATTTTGTTATACTATTTATGCAATGGGAATACCCAATTTTGTTTCTAAATTATTTGCAATGAGCAGTCGTGCTGCTATTAACGTAGTTGTTATCATTTTTTAACATTACTTATGTCATAATTTTCTATTTAAAATAATGCTGTTTAAATGACATTTCAATATTAATGTCTAATATTTCTCTAATCTACACCATACCTTTTGTACCACTTCACAATTCCAGCATAAATGCCAGTACGTTCTCTATTCTTTGTCACATCTCGAGCATTTCTTAGCATTAGCATCCATAATATTTAGTTTTATTGGAGTTAAGAACAATCTCAATATTATTTTATACCCATTTTCTTTTATCCTTATTGACATATTTTTGAAAACCCTTGTTCCAAATTTTCTTCCAATCCTCTTTATCTATTTTCCCAACATCTGTTTTTTACCATTCTAACTGATCCTCTTGTTCCGTCAAACATTCTTCCTTTCTCCTTCCTTTCCTACATCACATTCTCCATATTCTTTATATTTTCAAATTTAGTCAATTTCATATCTTTAAATCTAAACTTTTTACTATATTTTATCCACAATTCCAGCTACATTATATTTAACCAACTTAATTTTTGTCCTGCACAAATAATTCTTAATTGTTCCTCAGTTTTTTAAAAATTTTCCCTTCCAATTTTCCCATTTACATATCTTTTTTCTTGTTACATATTTTTCACCTCCTTTATCCCATATCGGTTAAGTACCAGGACAAACCTCCTAACTCTTTGAGCAGTATGAAATTTAATTATCACAGGAAGTGAGAAGTGTTGCAATACTGGAGGTTTTCAAGAGATATTTAGACATCCACCTGGCAGATATCCTTTGACTTGTATTTCTGCATTAAGCAGGGGGTTCGACTTGATGGCCTTATAGGCCCCTTCTAACTTCGTTATTCTAGTTTATATCTTGGAAAACTTTCCAGCTCCACTACTCGTGATATTCCAGGACAAAATGCTTGTCTCCATTTATTCCAAATTTCTAATACATTCTTTAAAAAGGGGTTCAGGATCTTTATAATTATTCTTTTATTAGTAGGATTCTTGTCACTCTCCCATTTCATGTAATTCTTGCAAGTCTATGTCACTCCATATTATTTCTTTATTTTATTTTATAATATTTGGAATAACACTTAATTGTTTTGCTATATAGTATTTACTAACATTTGGTAGTCTTAAACCTCATTTTTTGTGATAAATATCATATCTTTTTATTTAATCTGGTTCTCTTCCCTCCATTACAGAATTTATTTATTTATTATCTCTATTTCTTTCAGTTCCTGTTCTGAATATTTAAGTGAAATCAGAAACAAAAATTCAATTTTGGCAGTATTTTCATTTTGATGAGTGCTTATTTACCTAACCAAGATCGTTTCACCCTTTTGTAATTTTCTATTTTATCTTTTACCTCTTTCTTTATTCTTTCCATATTTGTTTTCTTCAAATCTTGTATATTTTTGGTAACACCAATACCCAAATGTCTAATACTCTCTGTCACTTTAAATTTAATTTTTCATTTTATCAATTTCTTCTCTGGAGTAATGATAGAGTATTTCAGATTTGTTCTAGTTTATTGTTAATCCAGCAAATTCTCCCAATCTTCAATGTTTTTGTATCCTTTCTATAATTTATAATAGGTTTTCTATCAACAACCAAGTGTCATCTGCAAATAAACTTATTTTACATTTGTCGATTTCCAATCACTTCTATTAGCTCATCTGCTCTTACTGTGTTCTCCAATAACCCCATTATTAATGCAAAATAATCGGGTATAAGGGGAATCCTCATTTT